CTGACTGAGCCATTCCCCAAACAAATTCCTAGTAGAGCTGAAACAGGAGTTGCTGGCTTAACCTGGGTGGACTGCCACCTGCCAAGGGTCTCTTCAACCCCTCCAGAGTCGCCAAGCCCCAAGAGTTGCTATTCAACCTAGTTTGAAGACCGTTGACCTGTTTTCTCTTAGTGGATTTAACCACCCTTTTCTAGCACGTTCCAGAGAATATCAAGGAATGTATTAACAAATGCTTGGTGAAGGAGAGACTCCACTGGCACACCTCCGTTTTCAGACAGAGAACATTTTGGTTCTTTTGAGATGAAAATGTCAGGGGCTGGTGTGATAACTCAGAGAGTGAAACGCTTCTCTTACAAACACAAGGGCTGAGTTTGGATCCCCAGAAAGAACCACATAGAAATCCAGTCACGGTGGCTACACACCTGTCATCCCAGCTCTGTCACAGAAGCTGAGGTGGGAGGGTCCTGGGAAGTCATGGGCCGGATAGCCAACCCTGTGTGGTGGATAGCCAGCCCTGTGTGGTGAACGTCCAGCCAATGAAGGGGCGGGGCCTGAGGAAGGACACTCAAGGTTGTCCTCTGACCTCCACACACACTCTGTCCATGTGTGCACTCATATCAACACACACACACACACACACACACACACACACACACACGCACGCACGCATGCACGCAGGCATGCAGAGTGGTGGGGGAGGAGAGAAAGGGAAAATTTTAGTATACGGACTCATGTGAACTGGACACAGACAGGTATATGCCCTTTCTTTCTTCTCATAGGCGAGGACCAAATGGCAGTTACCACGCTTGTCACGCTGGCATCTTCTCAGGTCTTCTGACTGCTCTGAACTAGTGAGGGGTGGGACCTATGGGCAATGAGGGAGTCTTGTCTGCAGAGATGCCCCCCAAAGACCCCAAAGGGTCTACAGGGTCCTTATTTTTATCTTAGTGTGCTGGCTAGTTTTGGGCCAACTTGACACAAGCTACAGTCATCTGAGAGGAGGAAGCTTCAATTGAGAAAATACCTCCAGAAGATCAGGCTGTGGGCAAGTCTGTAGGACATTTTCTTAATTAGTGATTGATGGGGGAGGGCCCAACCCATTGTGGGTGGTGCTACCCCTGGGCTGCTGGTCCTGGGTTCTACAAGAAAGCAGTCTGAGTAAGCCATGAGGAACAAGCCAGTAAGCAGCACCCTCAATGGCCTCTGCATCAGCTCCTGCCTCCAGGTTCCTGCCCTGTTTGAGCTCCTGTCCTGACTTCCTTCAGTGATGAACAGTGCTATGGAAGCATAAGCCAAATAAACCCTTCCCTCCCCATGTTGCTTTGGTCATGGTGTCTTATCATAGCAATGATAATCCTAACTAAGACACCTAGGGGCAGACAGTGTGAGCTCCTTGGTGGCATCCAGTCACAACTTGTTTGAAATTTGGTTGACAAGTGTATTCTTCATCCTTATTTCTTTGGGAAGTTACTCCTCTAAAAAATAGCAGACAACAAGTGTTGTTTTATTTTTAAGTTCCATTAGATTTATTTTTATTTTATGTGTATGCATGTGTATTTGTGTGGATGTATGCCATGAGAGCATGGGTGTCCTTGGAGGCCAGAAGTTCTCAGATTCCCTGAAGCTGGAGTTACAGGTGGTTGGGAATTGTCTAATTTGCTGTAAACCAAACTTCCTGTCATCTCTCCAGTCCCAACAACAGGGGTTTTAACAAAACGTGCTTCAAGCAGGATGGGCTTGAATAAGAAAGAGGCTCCTTTTGGCTCATATGTTGGAATACTTTAACCATCAGGGAGCAGAGCTGTTTGGGAAGGACTAGGAGGTGTGTCACTTGGGGTGGGCTTTGAAGTTTCAGAAACGATGGTGATGGCAGAGTCTCTCCTACCCTCTCCCTCTCCACTTCTCTTTCCTCCTCCTCTGTTGTTACCCTTTCTCTTCCCTTCCCCCTGCATCCTTTCTCTTTCCTCCTTTCCTTCTCCCCCTTTGTGTTTCCTCTATCAAATGTGTCCTCTAGCATCCCAGGCCAGTTTGATGCTCCAGTGTTGAATTGTGTCCCTGACTTCTCACTGGCTCATTGGTCCGTGTCCCAGATCTCAGATTGCCCACCTCTGAAGCCAGTGCGAACCAGCAAAAAGAGCAGGACTGGGGGAAAACTTCATCTCAGGTGGAGATTTTTGAAGGTGAGCATTCGAGCAAACACACACACACACACACACACACACACACACACACACACACACACTTACTTTAGCCTCCAGGCAAAGTGGAAGCAATGGAATTCTTCAGAACAATTGCAGAGAATCTTTCTTCCTGTACCTCCATAGTTGATGGGATTAGGCTGCTTAACCAACTAGCCCACAGCCACCTTGGACTCCCTCTCAAAAAACACCCCACAACATTCTCTTCCTGGCACTCAGCAGGAGAGGAATAGACACGTTTTTCCCCCCCTTCATGTGCTGCCCCTGGGACACAGGTTCAAGCTTGCCCTTCACCATCAAGCCAACTTAATTCTCTGGAACTCTTCCTTGAATGTCAGCAGCCCCGGGGCTTTGTATGCAGTAAGCAAGCCCTCGACTAGCATTTCTGGCCTGATGAGAAGATTCTGCTGTTTCTGTGAGCCTACAGGGGGATTACTGTGAAGGTCTGTTGGCAGACAGGGCAGCATGCCTGGGGACAGGGAATACAAAGGTCTAGATGTTCAACAACAGAAAGCCGGCACAGGGCTCTGAGTTCAAACCCCACCCTACTTAAGGCTGCTGAGTTAAGCTCGACTCCCTTTCTGGAACAGGCTGTAACTTCTGCAGTCACACCCCTGGTCTCCTTTCTGGAAAAAGTAACATAATGTGAGGACCATTAGCCAAAGTAGCTTGCCCTTCTTTGGCCAAGAGGTAAACTCACACTTGTGGTCATGCCAGACAAGGTCTTTCAGAAATCAGAAGGACTCTATGGCCTTGGAGCAAATCCATCCAGGCATGTGGAAATTTCCCTGGGCTCCCCTGGGTCTCCAGAGCTGCGGCAGTCTCTGTGTATTTCCAAGGCTGTTTGGCTATTACTTTTATGTTGAGAAATCTCTCTAGGCCCTTCTAATTCTCTCACTCTGTCTCTGTGTGTGTGTGTGTGCGCGTGGTGTGTGTGTGTGTGTGTGTGTGTGTGTGTGTGTGTGTGTGTTCAGGGATGGAATGCAGGGCCTCACACGTGCCAGGCGAGCCTTCTGCCACTGAGTTACATCCTAGCCCCTCTCTCTTACTAGTTTTTTCTTGCTTGCTCACATTGCTTTTGTCTTCCCTCTATTCGAGATAGCCAGTCCAATTCTGCCTCTGGCCAAGGTGTCTGCTCCCAGGGCTGCTTGCCAGCTGAACACAAGCAGACTGGCTACAGCTCACTGGCTGTGAGCTCTGACAAGAGGCCTGCGAACTAACTAAACCTGAGCCTAGATTTCTGCCTGGAAAGACAGACACTTGAGGTTGTGACATGGGGACAGATCCCAGCAGAGTGTGTGACCTCCCATGATGAGACAGAGGTTTGTGGGGCAAAATCCCAAAGAGTCACTCACTTAATAGTGCCACAAATTGGCACAGGGGACTGATTGGGTGAGAGACTGAATGCCAAGTTGCTCAGGCATTGGGCAATATGCTACAAAGCTGGCAGAGCACAGCCGCTGGGGTGGCATGAGCCAAGTCATTCCAGGAGTTCTTCTGGGTTTGGGGACGTTCAAGTTCTAGCAAGTACAACAGGAGCGATGGGTTAAACAGCCAAGGCATTTCCTGAAGACTATGGTGAGTCTATACCTCGGTGGCAGGGCTAAAACAGCCTTGGGGAGAGGGTGCACGGTGTGGGGGAGGGGGAAGGCGGCAGGGCTTCTCAGAAAGTAAATTCAACTACCTGCCCGAACAAAACTTCTGAGGAAAAGAACTAAACCAGGCCTTCTATTGTGTGACACATACAGTGTCCAGCACTGGTGAAAATGGCCGGACACCTGGAGAAGCACAGAAATGTGCTCCCTACATAGAGTATCATCAGGCAGTACAAACAGATACCAGATGCTCAGAGCCTAATTTCATAAATTAGGCCAGAGGTATGAAGAAGATGGTGCAGTAAATGCTTGCTGTGCAAGCATGAGGACCCAAGTTCAATTCCCAGCTTCCATGTAAAAGTAGGATGCTGTACTGGCTAGTTTTGTGCCAACTTGTTACAAGCTGGAGTCATCAGACGTGCAAGTGTAAGCCAAACCCTTTCCTCCCTAAGTTGCTTTTTGGTCACGGTGTTTTATCACAGCAATTGTAAACCCAACTAAGACCGATATGGTTACACTGCTTGCAATCCCAAAGCTGGGGAGACACAGGAGATCTCTGGGGCTCACAAGCTTGCCAGACTAGTTGAGTCAGTGAGCTTTAGGTTCAGTGATTTTATCACCGGGGCTGGAGAGATGGCATAGCACTTAGGTGCTTCTACTGTTCTTCCAAAGGACCTGAGCTCTGTTGTCAACTACTATATTTGTTGATTTACAACCACCTGTAACTCCAGCTCAGGAGGTACCCAAGGGCTGACTGCCTCTGTGGGTACCTGCCCACATGCAAACACACATCATACACACATTACTAAAGATAAGAAAAAATAAATCTCTAAAAAATGTGGTAGGAAGCACCTGAAGAAGACACTGGATGTTGACTTCCGGCCTCTGCCTGTAGGTGCACATAATACATGAACTACACACACACCGCACGCATACTCACACACACACACCACATATACACATACCACACACATACTCACACATACCACACACCCACACACATACTCACACACACCACACACATGCACACACCAGACACATACACATACCACACACACACACATACTCACATACACCACACACATGCACACACCACACACACACATGCATGCACGCACAGAGTGGAGATTGAAAAATAAAGAAGTAGAGGGTGAAGAGAAGGAAGAGGAGAGGCAAAAATTGGAACTGCTAGAGATGGAAATCAGTATTTAAAGATTTTCACTAGTTTAATAGCATATTGATACAATATCAATACATTTAATGCCATGGCAGGCATCATTCAAACTGAAGAACAAGGAAGGGAAAAAAAACAGATAAGAGTATGGGGAGCCAGGGGTAACTGGACACAAAAGCAAACACAGGAATCAAAAATAACCACACCAAGTTGGGTGGGTGATGCCTCAGGGGTAAGGCACCTGCTCCAGAGGTATCCACTGGGAACTTTGGGAGAGTCCCACCTTAGGCATCATGTCACTGGGGAATCGGTGCTCTCCCCCAGAGTTCTAGGTCCTGTGAGTAAAAGAATTCAGACATAGACTGTGGGAGGCACCAGGAGAATTTTATCAGTGTTTGAGAGAAAACAACAGGGCAGGCTAGAAACTTCGACAGCCACTGGGAAGAGGGATGCGGACGGAGGAAGGGAGGCCATGCCTTGACATAGGCAGCATGTTCAGCAATTGGAGGCCAGCACATGGCCGCATGCTGGTAAAGCCACACGTGGAAGGGATCGGTGGTGCAGAAAAAGAGAAAGCTCAAAGTGCCAGAGAAAGCATGCTTAGACTGCAGCAGTATCCAAAAGAGACAGGAGAGTGAGAAGAGGCGCGTGTTGGCCCATCAGCGTCTTTCCCTCCGTGGTAGGGCTGTCAGTGATCTCCCTGCCCACATCTCTGCTCTCTGCCATTTGACAGCAGCTGATAACTCACTCATGGCAGAGCCCAGAGCAATCGAGTTGCCTTTCTCCAAGGGTGACCCAGTCACTCTGCTCAACTCATTTGGTCTGGATCACACACTTGAATCAGAAAGTCTGGATTCCGGCTCAGTGTAGATCACAATCCTCCCCCTTGGGTAAGAAGGGTGGAGAGAGATGGTCTCCCAGCACACAGATGAGAGCTGTTGAACAAGCCACCTCCAAACACAGCTTGGAATACACAGACTTGCTTCATCTTTGCTACTCTATAAGGAAGACTTATTGTTTGTTTATTATTTGCGAATGGTCTCATGAGGCTTAGGCTGGTTCCAAACTCACTATATAGCCAAGGATGACCTGGAATTTCTAACCCCCTGCCTCCCCTTGCCCAGTGCTGGGGACAAAACCCCGGCCTTCCGTACACATGAGGCAAGGACTCTACAGAAACTTTCTCAGTGTTTCCCAGTATACAGACAGGAAATGGAGACACAGAGTCATTAGCTTATGCTTCACCCCATAGCAAGTGCAGGGCAGAGCTGAGATCCAAACCCACAGTCTGGTTCTCTGGGGTTCCATTCTCAGCTGCCTCACCTGGCCTGGGGCAGAGACAGATCTCCAGGAAGGACTCCTCCCTTATGCCGGGAGTCCTCAGTGCTGCTGCTCCTGAACTCCACCCAGCCTGGTCAGTAATGTCTGTGCTGCCAGAGGAAGAGAATTTTGGCAAAACAAAACAAAACAAAACAAAAAACCAACCAAACAAACAAAAAACAGATGTCATGGCTGCCTCCATGGGGGCTGGGGGTGTGAGGTGGGGGTGCATGACCCAGTGCTTGGACTCTGAGCCCCACTAGTTTCCTGTAGTAGTAAACCGTCTTTGGAGTGGACGACTCTTGGCTGTACCCTGCCAGTTGTCACCTCCACCCTCTCTTTAGCCTTCTACGTGTCCCCCACCTCAGCCTCACAAGGACACTTGTCACTGGATTTAGCACTCCCCAGGGAATCCAGGAGGATTAGCAAAGGCTATTTTTTCAAAATATGGTTCCATTAAATAAGGTCCTAGTCACAGGTTCTGAGAGATCAGGATACAAGCGTGTGAGAGAGAAAGACACACACACACACACACACACACACACACACACACACACGGTACCTCTTTTATTACCTTGTATCTTTCTCTTTTGTTTTGCGGTTTCTGGAAGGTACATGTTGCTGGCTTCTGTGGTTATTTTCGCCTAACAGCTGTGTTTCCGGCAAGCAGCTGAGGGGTTCTTCTGACTCAGCAAAACCAGAGTGGTAACTGTCAAGAAGCCGCTCAGGCGGGGCTAGAAATAAAGATGCTGTTCCTCCAGCATCACTGCTCCCGCGCCCACCCCCCAACTCCTTTCACTTCCTTTCCCCGTGGGTACCTTTGAAAGCCTCATAAAGTGCTTTTTAAAACCTGCCTCAACCTGCCTGCTCCAGGCCTGGATAAAAGTGGCCCTTGGCTAGGCTTTGCACAAACAGCAGATTCTGGAAAAGGAGACCTCCCCCTCCTCCCCCTCCTCCCCCTCCTCCCCCTCCTCCCCCTCCTCCCCCTCCTCCCCCTCCTCCCCCTCCTCCCCCTCTTCCCCCTCCTCCCCCTCCTCCCTCTCCTCCCCCTCCTCCCCCTCCTCTCCCTCTTCCCCCTCCTCCCCCTCCTCCCCCTCCTCCCCCTCCTCCTTCTCCTCCTTCTTCTCTCTCCATCCTCCTCTATCTCCTCCCTCCTTCTCCTCCTTGGAAGACTTGAGTGTCTTTTCCCATGGGAGGGGTGAAGTAAAAGCAGGGGCAGTGGGCCCTCTGTGACTTTCCAGGGTGTGGCCTTCCTCAGGCTGCTGCCCCAGGAGCCTGGGGACATCCACCAGCATGCACTTGGCTGAGTTTCATGGGGGCCATTTGGCAGCTTGTTTTTGTCCACCCACTGGCCCAGGATTCTCACCCCCAACTTCGGACAGGAAGGGAATGAGATGGGAAAGGAATCCTGGGGCACCTAGGAGCCTGCAAAATGCTCCCATGCAGTGGCTGCGAGACAGCTGCCCTCTGAGCCACGATGCTGCTGTTCTGAGAAAGAAAAGGAACAAATAATTTTAGCTCCTTCCTACGCATCCCTTGCAGCTGCTGATTGACTAACCGAAAGAGGCTGTCTGTCTCAACCCCCACTCTGAAGCTTGTACCCATGGAGCCCAGCTAACCCTTCTTGCAAGGGACTCGTGCAGGATCTCACCTGATGGGGGTATTGACTACTCAAGGAGGACGCCACATTCAGTTCAGCGTGTGTGTGTGTGTGTGTGTGTGTGTGTGTGTGTGTGTGTGTGTGTGTATTTGTTTCTCTTTGCCATCCTGAACCAAGATGGCGTTGGGAAGTATTGCCCCATGGGCTTGGGTTCCTGGAATTTCTCACTAAGGAACAGCTTGGACGCTGAAGCCAGCAGGGAGCTCCCAAAGCCATTGGTTTAATGGTACAGTTTGTGGAAATGAAGAAGTTGCTGACAGGGACGAAGTAAAAGACTGGAACAGAGCGCTGAGCCCTGCGGGACGGGTTCCGGCTAGAGACATGAGTTCCCGTCCTCTGTGACTGCAGAATGCCTCTGGGCAGGGAGTGTTCCTGCAGTGGAAGTGCGATGCTCGCCTGGATGGGGAGCCCTCTGGGTCTCAGTTTCCTTCCCTGGAAGAGGAGAAATAAACCCCCCGCCCCGCCGCCACCTACTGCTCCCCACCCTTCCCTTCCTTTTTTCCCAGAGCTAGCTTTGAACTCACGACATAGCAGAAGGTGATCTCTGACTTCTCATTTTTCGACATCCAATCCTGAGTGCTAGGATTACAGGCCTGGGATAGGAATGGGACCTACAGCAGGCTTTCTTTTGGGCCTCAGAGCTATATTATGGGGCAGGACCCTTATCGGGGAGAGGGGCTGAGGGCAGAGACCAATGGTAAAGGGCATGCTGAACATGTGTGAAGCCGTGGGCTTCATTTCTACAAGTGGGGAGGGGCATATTAAACTCTAAACCAGTGAATTCCAAATGCGATTTTGCATTGCTCTCCCCACGTCTGGAGGCGTTCTTTGCAGGTGTTTCTCTTTGTAGCCAGTGATTCTGAAAGTCACATGACACCCAGGGCAGGCCCTCCACAAGTCTTCGTGAAGATCCAGCACCCCAGACCCGATCCAAAGTGAGGACAGAAAAGTGGGCGTGGGTGGGAGGTGGGGCGCTTGACATAGCTCAGAGTTGAGGGTGGTTCCTTCTGCCGATACCCTCCCCACTCAGGGTCCCCTTCCTCTGTGTGGTCATCGGTAGATCAAATGTCCCTGCTGGGTCTCCCGTCCGTGCCACTGTCGTCATGAACATTCCCTCTTTGCAAATTTTGGAACCCACTTGAGCACACTCCCAGGACCCCTGTTTCTGTTTACACTACGCAGTTACTGCCTGCTCGAGGGCCCTCTTGTGTCTCTGTGTTGTAGCTATTACTTTCCTCTATTCCTAAAGTCCTTCCAGCCCACTTTTCTGGATCGGGAAACAGTGTTACTCTGAGCATGGAATTAAAAACCAGTGTCCATGGAAGAGTTGTCCATCTCCAAGTCGTTCCTGCTGTTTAGAGTTTCATTGCATTCTTAAGCTCGTCTGAGATGATACATGCAAAACCAGTGGCTTGGGATCGAGTTCTGTCTCCTGTGTCCTATCTAACATCTGCAGATATCACTTCGATTATCCCCTAGTCACAGACACGGAGGCCACCTCTGGATCCCTGCTATGATGAACAAGCCCACCACCACCACCGTCATCCCGAGTGTTCCTTGTGACCCTCTGCAGGCATCTAGAGAATGCACGCCTCTGTATGGTGGACCTAACTCACGGGACCTCAGGGTGTGAACTTGTTTGGACACAGGATATATCTTGTTAAGGTGAGGTCAGGTTGGAGGACGGAGGGCCTATGCTCCAACTGACTACTGTTCTTGGAAGGAAAGCAATGCAAGTATGCAAACACTCTGGAGAAGCCATGTGATGGGGGAGGCAGAGACTAATGATGCAGCGGCAAGCCAAGGAATACTGGGGATCGATGGCCACCATCAGAAGCTAGGGAGAAGCAAAGGAGGGGTCTACTTAGAGACTTGGGGGGTAGTTAGTTCCCTTCTGACACGGATTTCGCTGATCTTTTATCAGCCAGGTTTCTCTAGAGAAACAGAATTAACAGGATGAATTTATACATTAAGATAATGTATTAATTCAGCTTAGTTCAACATAGTGACTACAGTTGAATCACACCTGAGAGACTGAGAACCCAGTAGGTTCCCAGTCCTTGAGGCTGGGAACCTCAGCATTTGGAATAGTATCAAGGTGGCTCTAACTGGAGAGGCTGAGAACCCAACCGTTGCTCAGTCCATGATGCTTAGCTCCTCAGCAGTCCAATCTAATACTGAAAACCTGGAAGGTTTCCAAAGAATTCTGGTCTTTGGTCAACAATGGAAGCCTGGAAAGGCTGGTCCTGATATCACTGAAGGAGTCAGCAGCAGCAACAATAGAGTTAACCAACTTAGCAGTGAGAGGGAAGATAACTATCCATCTATCCTCACTTCCACTCATCCACCCACCCATCCATCCATCCATCCATCCATCCACCTGTTCACCCATCCATCCTTTTACCCATCAACCCACCCAACTATTTGTCCATCTGTCCATCATCCATCATCCACCCACCCATCCATCTATACATTCATCCATCTACCCACCCACCCGTCTGTCTGTCCATCCATCCATCCATCCATCCATCCATCCATCCATCTGTCTATCATCCGTCCAGTCATTATCTATTCATTGCCTATCTATCATCCACCCCAGGTCCATCCATTTATCTATCCATTATCCTCCTAGTGTCTATCTATCCTTCCTTGTATTCATCTATCTACCCATCCATCATTCATGCATATATCTATTCATCCATCTATCATCATCTATCTATTTATCCATCTTTCCTTCCATTCATCTATTCATCCATCCATCTATGCAGCCATCCTCTATCTATCTATCTAATCTATCATTTATCCATTTATCTATACATGATCCACCTAGTATCTAGTCATCCTACCATTTGTTCATCTATCCACCCATCCTTTATTAATCCATCCATCCATCCCATACATCTTTCCACTTCTACTGTGTGTCTTCCTTTACGGCTAGAATCACAGTAATAATAATAAAAACAAATGGAGAGGCTTTCTCTGTTGTGAACTCATCGTTGGTGAGGGAAAGTCAGACATTAAACTAATGATAAGCAGGAAACCTAATGGCTGGGGTCCTTGGGATCCTGAACATCTTCAGAGCACAGTGATCCTGATGCTGGTGTCTGGGAGAATGGAAGCGTGTGTATGCCAAGCCCCACTCTCGGCAGGCAGGTGCATGGTCCGAAAGGAGGAAAGCAGCTGACTTCCTGGTGTGTGGAGGAGGAGGATGGCCCAGGGTGTGGCTTTATCACTGTGCTGGAGCCTCGGTGTACCTTGCCTCTGTGCCTCAGTGGGGTCCCTCGTAACAGATTGGGGCTGTGACCCCTTTGAGGCCATCCTGGTTCCTTGTTTGTGCCAATCCCCACTCCACAGAAGGAGTGAGAAGCAGTACAACTCCTCCAGAAGGGCTTGGAGGTCCTGAGAGGGAACTCAGCTGTGTAAACCGATTCATTTTTTGCTATTATTCAAAATTCCCACAAATTAATAACACACAAGGCAGAAAAAAAGTAATGGCTTCATGTTCCATTCTCTGGGTCTTAATAGCGTAAGTCTTCCTGGGGCTGGGTGGGTGAGATGTGAAGCTATAGATGTTTGTCTAGTTCACACTGGAACTCTGCAGGCAGCAAGATGGATTGCAACAGAAGTCACAATGGAGAAGCTGCTTTCAAGGTCACTCAGTGAGACAGAGAGCCTAGGCCAAGTGACAGGCTTCCTACCTCTTGGCCCACTGGCAGGCTTGGTGTAGGGAAACCAGGCAGGCAGGCAAGAAGCTTTGCTGTAATTGGGAAGGCCCCTGAGAGCTGATTTCTCCCTTGCAGTTCCGCAGAGTGGAACTTGAACTTGGAGCTTGTTAGGTGGTGGTCTGTTGTCGTGCAGACTGTGAAAACAGTCAGCTGCATTTCCATCCCTCTTGGGAGGGAGGGAGAGAGAGAGAGAGAGAGAGAGAGAGAGAGAGAGAGAGAGAGAGAGAGAGAGAGAGAGAGAGAGAGAGAGAGAGAGAGAAGAGAACACCCGATCAGGCCTAAAAGAGCTGGTCTGAGATCCATCCACTCAGGGTTGTCAATAACTGGTTTTTACGGATGCGCAGATTCACAGGGCTATATTTTAGTGTCTCTACATCGATCGAGCTATCATTTCAGCTCCATAGCTCATAGCTAGAAAGCAGACTACAGACACCCCACATTATGACGCTGCCCTCCTTGTTCAGGACACCATATTCCATTAGGAGCAGAGCTTGATGGATGGTCCTGATGTTGTAATCTTGCTAAGCAATTACAGTGCCATCCTA